TAATTAGTGCCTTTTAAAATACATATTAAATGGATCTCACAGATCTACTGTTAGTAACTTTAGATTTGACGTCCGGTTAAAAGGATAAAAATAAACTTTCAAAGAAAATTTGATTTTGTAATATTTTTATTAAGATTTCAACAAACAATAGATGTTCAACATAAATCATAAATAATGTTAAAATTTTTGTTTAACTTAATCTCATTATACAAGATATAGGACTAACATTCGTATCAGCACGTGAAATGTCCAGCGTTTCTGGCTTTTTATCTTACATCTTGGCTTTTAAATATAAAAATTTATTAGCTATAATAAATTTGATTAAGAAAATAATAAACAAAATGTAAAAAAAAGTTTTTTTTAAATCTTATTATATTGTAGATCATAAAAAAAACTAAACATATATTTTTGTATTAAATATTTTTTCAATATCTTTTATAATTTTTAAGATATTAAATTTAGAAATATAAAAAATCTTTTTCTTTGAAAAGAATTTCTTCACTTTTAGAACTAAAACCATTATTGAAATAGAAAAGTGCTGTGTAATTAGATTTATATTCTCTATTTCTGCAAAGTTTTACATTTTTATTTTTTGAGATGCCATAAAAATTTCTGAAAATCTTTCTTATTATTTTTGGAGAGAAAAAGTCACTTCTCAAATTTTCTTAAAATGTTTGAAACATTCCATTCCCACGATCAAAGAAACGCGAAGAAATCTAAAGGTCTTTGTTAAATCAACGAGTGAATTCTGAAAGTTTACAATGATCTATTGCTAGTGAACTAGTTTTATTATCATTAAACCTTTGTCAGATATGTCGTGGCATTCGAAGATTGCGAGGACATTATTAAATTCCTCCGGCATCGCCGATTTTTTTTTCCGCCAGCGAAGATCGCGCGTTTGTCAAGAGCTGGCTCGAACGCGCCACGTCTCTACCAAATCGTTCATGGTACAGAATCTAAACGATACGCCAGACTATGTTCTACCCACGCATGTGTCGATCGTGGAGAAACTCGAGTTTGACAAATGATCCCACCTGGCCGTGGCACTTCGCTAATTCCTCCGACGCTGATCCGCTTTTCCTTTCACGACGTCATCTCACGCGCGCTTTCGTCTTTTCCTCGTCTTCGTTCTCCATCCACTCTCTCTCTGCGTACCGAGAAACCGTCATGGGGATGCGTCTTTCTTCTCCGCCGGGAAAACTACTCAGAAGTCGCTGATGGAAAGCATTTTTAGCGGCACCCGCGCACGTCCGCTGCATGCCGCAGACTGCGAAATTTATCATTTTCCCGGGAAATAGCAAATGTGAGCTGCGTTATCAACGGTAAAAGAGAGAAAGAGAGAGTATGCAACGCTCTGAAGATCGATCATTCACATTAACCCATTCAGAAACTGACGTTGCGAAACGGCGGCAGTTCGGAATTCGGAGAAAAGAACTTTTTCGAGCTCGAGTATAAACGTACAACGGGGAAGGATGACGACAACCTCCACGGGGGACGTTAAAAGTCAATTTTTTAATGTCCTGCACAGAGCGTAACGCATAACAAGACAGGCCCTAAGGGAGCCATTATTCGCCGGTATGAATCGTCGTGTTATCACGCAAGAAACTTCGTCGCGTTCGAACGATATATTTTAATAAGGCACAACTAAATTACCCCAAGGCACCCCCGAGTCATTATATCCTGACGATTCTCTGTACATCGCGCGTACCCCTGACTGTGCGACTTGTATACGTTTTCTCACGAAGGCTGTAACCGGAGGTAGTGAATAAACCTTGCCAGGGAAACTACCTCGTTAGCCTCATTAGCCGTTGCTCCGTTTCATTAACGAAGTGGCGGATGGGGCTAGGCCAATGTTGCCGAAGAAATTTATGACAGTCGCGTTTTGTCCTAGACGTACAACTTCCCTTCGTAGCACTTTCTCAATTTACTTTGCATGCTTCGCTACCGCATCCCTTCTTTCAGCTCCTCTGCCTCTGCGGCAAGAGCATCGGGCGCGAATTAAGGGGACTGACGGGAACTAAATTTCGATAAAGGTAAAGATATGCCTTTGAGAGTTCAGAAAGGCCTTCTTGTGATGCTTCTGCTCAAACTTGAAGAAATTGTTCTTTTGCCGTGACGTGTGCTAAAGAAATTTCTTGCAAAAGGACAATCTTTCTCGTTTGTGTCTTTTTCTTTGATAATTTTACTAATATCTTAATATCGAATATTTTAGTAGCATGTAAATTAATTTTTAATTTTTGTTACAATTTACATTATATTATAAAGTGAAGATTTAAAAGAGTAGCTCCTGAATAATATGCTCCTCATTGACAACAAATTAGCAGTAAATATAAATAAAGATGTATATATAATATAAATGGAAAGTTTCTAATTAGCGCATTTTGTATGTTTAACTTAGACTTTAAAGAATCCTTAAACTTTGCCCTTATTGTCTGCTCTATTTAAAAGCATAAGAACCTTCTGTATGATATTGAGCCACCTTTTGGAGGCTGAAATCCTTGGGCTAAAAAAGAATAAGCATTCAAACTTCTGTTTTATTAATAATATTAGAAAGTTTATTTCTGTGTTTTGTTTACTGTTATGTTTACTGATTCAAACAGTTATTTCTTGATTTTTGATTTTTGTACAATTCACATTCGCAAAATAAATGTTTCTCGATCTTAATCGTTTTACAAAAGAACTTGCAATATACTACCAAAATTCTACTTTCATTGCAAGAACCGTAATAATGGTACAGTTTTTACTTAAGGAAACCATCATAAAGTTTCGCGCGGAAGTTGTCTCGCGTCAGATTGTAAAAGAATACTTCTATCTTTGTACTTAAGTCATTTATTTATTTTTATCTCGTCTGGAACGTACAAAGATACACACAAATTTTTCCTTCTTTTATTGCATTATTTTTAGAAACTTTTAGTCAATTTAAAACTCTAATATATTTCTTATATACGTATTTTGTCCCTTGTTGATTTAACAAATGTATTAATTATATCAATTTAATTGAAAAAGATGAAAAATATATGGCAACACAAGATATTTACACTGTCTTGGATCCAAAAAAATCATATATTATTTCTAAAATTTAGACAATTTAAATAAATTAAACACAAAAATTCTAAATAAAAAAATTAAATACATATTATAAATTAAAAGATAAATTAAATATCCATTATTCAAATATATTTTTATTATCAACGTTTTTAGTTTTTATCAATATTTTTTTAAATAAATTAATATTTAAAAGAAATCACATTTCTTATTGTCTTATCCGATGTTCTATGCGTGAGGTCTTACAGCAAAAATGTCCATGTATGTAATATTACAAGAAGAATTAATATTTTTGTTGTATTTCTCGACCCTCTTTACATTAAACCCATCGCTTTTAGCCTACGGCATGGTAGAACCTAATTTCGTAATGAAGTAAACTACAAGACTCACCGTGCCGCGAAACGTTCAGTTCGCACCGCAAACAATTCTACAGCTGCTAACCAAACGATTAATCTCGAGATCATGATGAGAAGATCAATATGCAAGGATGGTCAGGAACACTCCGCTAGCCACGCGTAAACATCTGCTGCTTGCGAAGCATCGGAAGGGCGATGCATGCCCCTTACGGCACGCACTTATGCAAGGCGAGCTAATTAATCCACGGCAAATGCAAGCAAATCAAATGCGGCTGGCCTGTTGGCGAGTTGGATTCGAAATTGGCACTTCCGTACGTTCATCAAGTTAAATATGCAAATCGAGTTGCGTTTATGTCTTGGCCCACGAAAGTTCCAGGAGTTCTCATGCGTAGCACTCGCACTGCGGAGGGTGTAAATATCATCCACCATCTCTCCATTTGCTCCTGCCCCGTCGGCGTCGCCGTGCTACGGACTGGTGCTTGCTGGTGCTACGGACGCAAAATCCTCATGATGTTTGCGCAATTAAAATCAATTCCTAAAACTGGGTGCAGGTCTGGGTCGGTTGTTTGCTCGCTAAATCTTCATTCTGAGATGCGCTAGTATTTCTTCCTCGTTGGAGATGAGTTAGATTTCATACGGTAATCAAAATAAGCAATCTCATCCTCTCTCCTCAGCTTCTTCTCTTTGAGTTTAAAGCTCATATTAGATTTCTAATTCTTGTTAGACTTCAGGATCGAATTTTATACATTTTTTGTTTTAAAATTACATTTGATTATCAGAATATATAA